CAATATGGCTCTGTTGGTTGAGCATTGTCCTGTCCACTGAAAGGTTGCCAGTTTGATTCCTGGTCAGGAAACATACCTGGGTTGTGGGTTTGACCCCCAGTTGGAAGGCGACCGATCAGTGTACCTCTCTCACATTGATGTTTCTCTCTCACTTCTCTCTCTTCCTTCCTCTCTCTAAGCATGTTCTCAGGCAAGGATTTAAAAAAATGACATCAATATCTTATATTTCTGAGTCAAAAATTAAATTTACATATCCGTTTTGACATGAGGTGCTAAACCCTTCAACTCTACTGTTAGAGTAAATATTTATAATGCAGTTTGGGCTTCATGCTTAGCTTTGACTTCTATTTCATAACATCTGCTCTGCCTTGCTTTCCGGACTGCTGTCTCTGCACATTGTGGAAATACCTTTCTCTCTAACTTAGGTCTGTTTCCCATTTTGTATACATTATCTTAAAACCAAAGTCTTCCCCACTAACCGGCTTCAATTATTTTCTTGTGTATTCTAACACCTTATTATGGATTTCCTTTTCTATCCTTGTCTAAAATATCCTAAATGGTTAGAGGATGCTGTCTAATTTAAAACACCCCGAGGCCAGGCTTATGCCTTAGATCCCAGACAGCTTGTCTTATACAGTGGTGGAGATGGGAAAGGATTAACTAGGAGAGGGAAATACATGGCTATTAAATACTTTTTTTCCCAAGAGTGTTATATCCTAGACTTTTAAGGACCGTGATATAAAAAATAACTGTTGCTGTTTTCCTATACAATTTTTGTTCTGTCAGAGACATGATGTTGCTGGATGTACCAGTAGTCTGGCCCCAAATGGGCTTGGGATTTAGTGTATATCCTTAAAATCACAACATTTTGGGTGTGGATGCGGCTTTATGCTACCATTGGATAGTAGCCCTCAGATTCCCCTTCTTCCTACAGGACTTAACATCATTGTCATTTCTTTTTATTGAAACTTCCCCAGACTACCCCTCTCTCTTGGGTTAGCTTCCCTCCATGCCCCTTTGCCAATCTGTCAGTCACTCCTCTATTGACGTATGTATCACACTGTTCCAGCATTTGTTTATATGTGTGTCTTCCCCCTTGGACTGTATGCTGTGTAAAGGCGGGAAAGGGTGTCTTTGACCACATACTTTCCATGCCTAGCTCAAAGCCTGGTTTATGGTAGGCACTTAATGAAGATTAACACCTTCCTAGTAACAACTCCCAAATCTCTGTGGCTTAAGACAGTCTAGGGTTGGCAAGGGCCCTGTTCTATGGTGTCCTTGTTGTAGAGGGTAGGCTAATGAATCCTCCACAAACTTGAATGCATGCTAGTCATCTTAGCAGTAAGATGAAAATGATGAATCTTGCTCTGGCCCTTGACAGTTCAACTTGTAATTGACATGTCACTTTCTCTCATATTTGATTGCTCTAAGCAAGGGACATAGCCACACCTAATGTCACAGGAACGAGGAAGAGCAACATCGCTATGTTTCTGGAAGGAAGAGAACAGGAATATTAGTGGGCTACACTAATGCCTGCTAATCCAAAGTCTGATATGTGGTTGGCACTTAGTACCTACCTAATGAAGTACTTACAAATACCTACTGAGATTTAAATTTTTTTCTATACAGTAAGCAGAACCACTTGAAATCATGAAATATCCTACTAACTACATTTTTTAAAAAATGAAGATACTAATATTATTGTCTAAGCTATGTTCAACAAACATCTGGAGACTTTTTAAAATAACACTTTGTTCACTTTATTCATATTAGGGAAGGTATTATATTTGATTTTGTAGTATTTCAGATGCATAAAATATGAAATGGGTACATTTTCATAATTAACATTTTGCCTAAGTCATTTAGAAGAGTTCAGAAAAAGAAGAGTCATGTAGAAGTCTTCAAATATTTGTGTATTAAGTTAGTCTAATAAAAAGTACTTTAAAATAAACTTTTTTTGGAAGAGCTAATATCTGGCTCAAAAATTGGTCAGGAGCTTAGGAAAAATGGGTCTAATTAACTTTAAAATGGAGTCTAACTATAGATTGTATTCTAGTATTTTATACTAAGTGGGGTTTTTTCTAACTTGTAAAGTAATGCATTGTTTAAAATGTGAAAAATAAAAACTACTATGAGAAAGATGAATTAAAAATCACCACCCAGATAAACCACTGCTAACTTTTTGTTGTGATTCCGTCTATGGTTATTCTTGTTGCAGGAGAAGAGGCATATAGACAAGGCAATCCTATATAATAAAAGGGTAATATGCAAATTGTCCCTCCACCAGGAGTTTGACTGGAATTCAACCAGGGGGTAGGGCCAGCCTACCAACCGCCCAGGGCCCCTCCCCCTGGCCAGCCCCGCCCCCTGATTGGCCTCCCCACCCCAATCGGGCAGGGCCGGCCAACCAACCTCGTGCACGCCCTCCCCCCAGCTGGCCCTGCCCAATCTGCCCTGATTGGGGTGGTCTGGTCAGACCTCACCTGTGCATGATTTCGTGCACCAGGCCTCTAGCAGAAGATACTGGCTTGCAATAGGGAGGTAGCAGGGGGAATGGTAAGAAATGATCAGATTAGAATATGTTTGAAGAACAATGTTGGTAGGATTTGTTGATGGATAAAATGAAGAGGGAGATGATAGATAAGTGATAGAGGACACAGGAGATGGTGAAGGAGAAAGTCTCGCCCCCACACCCCAATAATATCCTCAGTATCCCAACTATTTTCTGGTGTCCTCAATGATAAAATATCTAACTTGAGGGAATTAGCCAAGGTTTACTGGAATTTCAATGTGGCAAACCAACCAGAGATGAAACCAGTTGGGAACAGAAGGGGCCAAGCCTAGAGGTCATCTTGGTTTCAGTCCTCCAAGGAGGCATAGTGAGATCTGTCTCAGACCAGGCTGCTGTTGCTTTCAAGGTCAGAATGATGGGAGACAGATGCTGAGAGGGACATAGGGACATTTTCTTAGGGGCAGAGATGGCACTGTTCCTGAGAAACAAAAGACCAGGCAAGAGCCAGAGGGCAAGGCCAGATTCCAGCTGGGTGGCAATTCTAAAGGAAAATTCCAATTTTATTTACTTTTGTGAGGATACTTCAAAAGCTAGTCATCTGTTTATACATCAGGGCAGGGCTTTTGGTTGGAAGATAAGGAATCCAAGGCAGAGCTTGTTGGGGGATACAGCTTTATGGGCAGATGGATGCTAAGCCCATCACTAGGATTTAAGCAGCCAGACTGTTTGTTGGCCCCGCTCTGTGGATAAAAGCAATTCCTTATTAGGCTGCCTGAACTTGCCTAAGAAGTCTGTGACGCTGAGCAGGCAAGACGAAGTTCCTTCAGTCTGTGGCTGGGAGGGAGTGGGAAGGCTGTGACGAAATTAAAAACATGTTCATCGAGTGTCTCACCCATGGAACAGGGGGGTCAGGAGAGGGTGGAGATAAGATAGAAGTACGAGACTTATCCCTCTTCCTTAATCTTGTGGCCTAGAGACAGAAACAAGCACATTATGAAACTGATTACTAACCATAAGCAACACTGTTTAAATAGAGACCAGCGATATAACAACTAGGGTTGAGATGCCTGAGGAGTTAGTTGGAGGACCGTCTTAGCAGTGCATGAGTTCAGTGAGAATGTCTGTGTCCACTTGGTGATGATCTGAAGATAACTTTTTTTTTTTTATCAATTAGATGTATAAACCTTCTCACATGCAGTGATAATTTTTATTTATGTATTTATTTATTTTAAAAACAGCATTTATCAAGGATTTAACCTTTATTGATTTTAATTTTTTTTGTTAATCCTCACCTGAGTATATTTTTCCATTGTTTTTTAGAGAAAGTAGAAGGGAGGGGGAGAGACAGAGAAAGAGAAACATCGATGTGAGAGAGACACATCGATTGGTTGCCTCCTGCATGTACCCCAACCAGGGCAAGGGATAGAACCTGCAACCAAGGTATCTCTGCCCTTGATCAGAATCGAACTCAGGATTCTCCAGTTTGCAGGCCAATGTTCTATCCACTGAGCCAAACAGGCTAGGGCTGCAGTGATAATTTTTAATTAAAATATAGTTTTATAGACTGAAACTTTAGTTTCTTAAGTTAATATTGTTCAAACTACCATCCAAACATGTCCATATGGTTGCATCCATTTCAAAAATATTGTAAGCATGGAAGATAGAATCCTAATCTGAGGAATGGGTGGGTGGGTTCAAAAAGGTGCAAAAGAGGGAGAAAGGTGTTTCTGAGAGAGGAGGGAGTTTGAGATGAAGGATGAGCATGGTGCATTTGGGGTACCCAGAGCTTGAAAGAAAAGTCAGTTTCAGGTTTTTAAGAATTCTTTCCCCCCTTTTCCTGAATACTATGGTAATTTTGGAAACACTGTTTCTTCTATTACTTGCCTTTTCCTGGTGGGTACAGGAGCTGTACTAAGTCTCTTTGTTGAGGTTTGTTGAAACCCCTCTTAAAGGACCATCTCTTTACCTTGATGGGCTTTTTTATCAGCATCTAACATAAAATGTTCTTTCTCAGCCAAAATGTGAATTTTGTCTTCTCAAGACCTTATTTCTGAACAGTTAATGATTCTAGCAGAGACATGTAAAGGAGGGCCCATTGCATCCTCCCTTTGGATGTTTGCTAGGTGCTCAGGAAGCAGGTGGTCTGCCCAGGACCGGAACCCTGAAGGGAAATGGGCTTTTTTTTTTTTTTTTATGTACCAGCCTAATCCTTCACCTGCATTTAGGGATTTGTTCCTCTCAAATATCACTGATATCCTTTTGAGTTGATTTTTTTTTCTTTTGAACAATCAACATCCCAGATCAGTGGTCCTTATTCTCCTTCATTTTGCAGAACACGTTTGTTAGGTTTATTACTAAAACAGAGATTGTGTTTGTTAATTACATTAGGTCTGGCCGCAAAGCTATTTGTTCAGATGTGGGCTGATAAGAACTTGGTCTTTTTAAACCTTCTTTAAGTAAAACTTTCTCTTTTTCTTTTCCTTTACAGATTCCGGCAGCATTATGGCAGAGCATAGCCATGTGCAACAACAGCTGGATTTACAGAATGGTAGTTTAGAGGCACGCTTTGCGGCAAATTCCCTTGAGAACGATTCCCAAAACATGATGGAGAGCCTGAGCCCGAAGAAGTATTCTTCCAGCCTGAGATTTAAAGCCAACGGAGACTATTCTGGCTCCTACCTGACCCTCTCACAGCCTGTGCCTGCGAAGAGAAGCCCTTCCCCTTTGGGGACCAGTGTCAGAAGTAGCCCCTCCCTGGCCAAAATCCAGGGAAGCAAGCCATTCTCTTGTGATGGCACTGACAAGAATATTTCCATGAAACCTCCTCCCACTCCTTTACGTAGCACTTCACCCTCCGTCGGTGGCTATCCACGTGGAAGAACGGACTTTGATCATTACAGTGGCCGGGACAGCGAAAGGTCCTTGAGGCTTGCAGAGAAACCTCCCTATTCCAAACATAGCTCCAGAAACAAATCCCATGACAATGTCTACTTTCTCGGAGGGCTGGAAAGCCGAAAGGCGTCTGGCTCCCTGCTGGCCATGTGGAATGGGAGCTCCCTGAGCGACACCTGCCCCTCTCCCATCAGCAGATCAGGGGCGGCGAGCATGCCCTCGAGCCCAAAGCAAGCCAGAAAAATGAGCATCCAGGACAGCCTGAGCCTGCAGCCCAAATTGACCAGACACAAGGAGCCGGCATCTGAGAACATCGGCGTAAGAACTAGGAAGTATTCGGGCAGCAGCCTGAGTCACATGGGAGCCTACAGCCGATCTCTGCCCAGGTTGCACAGGGCCACAGAGAACCAGCTGATGCCTCTCACATTGCCTCCAAGAAACTCTCTGGGCAATTCCAAACGAGCCAAGCCGGGGGACAAGGACCTACCTCATAGCATCATAGACAACGACAATTACCTGAATTTTTCTTCTTTGAGCTCAGGCGCTTTACCCTATAAAACCTCTGTGTCCGAGGGCAGTGCTTACGTCAGCTCCACCCTCAGTGTCCCGGGCAGCCCTCGCCTGGCGCGGAAGATGCTTCTGGCTTCCACCTCCTCCTGTGCCTCTGACGACCTCGATAAGGCTTCCTGCTCGGGGACCAGCTCCAATCATTCGTTTCCTCCTGGAGAGCCAGACAGGGTGTTCGTGGCCAGGAGGAACTTCTCTTGTGGGTCTGTCGAGTTGGATGATGCAGATTTGGAGAGCCTCAGACAGGCCTCCGGAACGCCCCAGCCAGTCCTTCGGGAACGGAAAAGCAGCATCAGTTCCATTTCAGGACGAGACGACCTGATGGATTACCACCGGCGGCAAAGGGAGGAGAGACTCAGGGAGCAGGAGATGGAGCGATTGGTAATCACCTGACTTGATCTCCCTGTTTCATTGAACAGCTTCTTGGAGAAAAACTCCAAGGTTTTATGTGGGCATGTAGAATTTCCATATGCACCAGCCACTGCTGTGCCTTCCTAGAATTTCTCCCACTATCTCTATCTCTCCTCTTCCCAGGTCACTGTTATTAGTTACCTGTAGGTGTTTAGAAGGCCCATATGTTCCTAATATTATGTGAAGTTGCCCTGCAGAGTTCTCACAGGCATAAATTCCTGAGACACCTAACAAAGATAGCTGTGAATTTTACTGAGTTTCTTATGTCTTACAAAATTTTTCCTTAAGACTGTCAGGAAACATCAATTTATATTATGTATATCGTCAAATTTGTGTATACATGGTATCATAGAAATAATCAGTGAAACTAGAACGCATCAGGGTTTAGGCAGGAATCTGTATAGTAAGTTGTCTGGAAAATTGAAAGGTTGCCAAAATGGTGCTCAATCTTTTTTCTGCACTGTTCACCCACATACATACCTCACACTCCCTTCAGCCATGTCTCTTAGTATATATAGTGACTCCCGACTATATATAATCAAATGTTTTTGGCTTGTCCTTTTCTATTTAAAATGGATTTATGCTTATTTGGGAAAATATTAAAAATAATGAGAAAGGAATGAACATTCCTTGAGAAGACCATAATGAATGAGGACAAATTACTGCATTTTTAAATTCTTTTTTCTTTACGCATACTTTTTTTTTTTTGCTTGTTTTGTTTTTGTTTATGGGATGAATCGCTGTCACAGATTAGGTTAATTCATTAATGATGAATTCTGTATTTCTTTAATGAGGGAAGCAGCAGGATGGTAAAGCTGGTTTACAACAGTATAAGAGTATCAAAAGTGTGTTAGTTACTGAAAGGAAGTATGCTGGAATAAGATTTCTGAGTTATACACCAAACATGTTAATGCCCTATAGGACAATACAAATGTAACCTTTGTGTTGATTATAATGGGCAGAAATCATTGGCATCTCTACAGGACAAAATTTGTGTAACATTTTAGCAAAAGAATAATTTGCATTACTCATAGATTTGATAATTTAATGTCTAGTGTTGCAGTGTTTTGAGATATCCTAATATGTAATAGTAAAAATACAAATGTGTGTATCCTCAGGGAGTTAGATATTCCTCGGGTGTGTCTGTTGGATGATGCTCCAATATGACAGTTTTCTTTGCAA